GCCTGCTTGGCCATATTTAAATGATATTCTATTATGTCGTTGAATATACAACGAAATAAAAATAATAAGCACCGGATTATTCTTTGCATCGAATGAACCATCGCTCTTGTTGGAAAACCCTATACATTGCTAGAACGAACTAAAAATGGTCTACGGGAGAAACTAACGCCCGTAGCGCAAGGATGTAGGAAAACTGAAGAAAACGTACACCGGCGCGACTAGCCTCGAGTATCAAATCGCTCGTAGCGAAGGACCATTTAAGGCCTCGTACCATAAGCAATACCTCTCGGTGATGAAACACTATCTGCAATCGCAGCAGACTGAAACGATTAACGTATTAGAAGGTTTAGCTTGATCGGTCAAACGGCTGCGTGCCGTGGATTGGCAGCAAAAGGAGTTTCCTCGGGGCGATGTCGGCTCGAGCCGTTGTTTTCCTCATTTTATTTTCTCATTCTTCTTTTTTTCTTTTTTTTTTTTTTTTCCTTTACTCCAAGACTCGATGAATTATCGTCGCGCCGCGAATTCCTCCCGTCGTCGTGTAATCGACAAAATTATAGCGTGTTTTCGTCACGCAGCGACTGACGACGGTCGACGGTGCAACCGACAATCGCGTTATGAATAATTGAACAATCGTTGCTTGCGTCTTAGCCGATTGAAAAACCAAGCTCGATGCAAAGTGGATTGCCTGGATGGTTTGCGTTTCACGGGTATACCGGAACTTCCGTTCATCCGATTCCGCTCCATTTTTAATCGTTCTCTTAAATTATTTGCGCCATTCGCGTTCGGTTTGGCACAATTTTCGTAAAAACGTTGGATGCACAGCGAAGTGTTCGGCTTATATAGCTGGTCTCCAGCGTTTTTTTTTTAACAAAATATATCTGGGATCCGAAACAGGGGCGAGGTTCGACTTTCAAGCACTTCCTCTGCTCGTGTAACTCGATCGTTCTGGAACTACCTCCCTATAGAACAGTGGTTTCCAAGGATTTTGAGAGCGTGCCTAAAAAAGAGTTTTCTGCGTTCGAAACGAACCGATTTATTCGTTCGAACGTTTACGTAACGCATGCGATCGTCAAAGCGTTAAGGAAGATGCGCCGACTCGAACACGCTTCCACGCCCGGATTTAAGATCGAGAAAATCCGTCGTACAAGCAATGAACGTCATCGTTCGCGATAAAGTCAAATTACGATAATCCGGCGCGTACAATAAGCGACGAGCAAATCATCGTTCGTCCGTGTCTCCGATCGCGCAATCGTAGACACGATACGTTCCGCTGATCATTGCACACCGAAGAGAAGAGAGTCATTATCGTAGCTCGAGACGCGCGTTTCCCACCGATGAATCGTAAACGCATAATGAGACTTTTACAGACCTTTGACGCTTATAATCGTCGAATTATCGTCGATTTCTCGCTCAATGCTGAACCACGCAACCTTGACCAGACCGACGTCGAACGTTGCACACTTTATTTGTCCAACGTCTCGTGAATTTCCGTCGTAAACGCGATTTGCACGCAATGCCCGGCGCCCAGAAAATGTTATTCGATCGAACGGTTCAATGTCGTTCTATCGCAAAATTACGTAAAAATTGCTGTTAATAAAAAGATGCTACAATTTACCGAGTGTCCTTGCTGTGCAAATAAAGGGTTCCTTTACGCTGAACACCTGGATGCTGACCTTAACGAATAACGGGGCAACTTTCAGCGGGCTCTTCCGTTGCTCGCGCGAAACAGCTCTTATTTTTTATGAAGACACTTAAGAGTAGAATTCTCAAGCGGTTACCAGGCGTAACGCGTCGATGATGCGCTGCACGATGGCAGAAATTACTTGGGGAACCAGGAATTTTCGGAAACGGATAAAGGAACATTTGCCTAGCTCGGTGCACCGTTCGTACTTAAGGGTCGCGACAGGTAGAAAAAAGGAGCATACCGTTATACCCCGTCCCCGTGGCACGGCCTCCGTTTCCTTCTTGGCCAGGGGACTGGTCTTCTTGCCTGCCGACCGGGAAAATTTTAAGAAAGTGGAATTCCGACGCTACGAACCAGCGTTCGAGCGATCCGATTGGCAATCGAAATGCCGACGTTTTGTGCTTTGCGTTTCGATATTTAGGATACGTTGACTCGATTACGGCAACCGGTGGCCTGGTAACGACGATAAAAAAACGTCGTAACAACGGTATTAATCTTTGGTGCACTTTATCGCGAGACGCCTCACAAGTAATTTCAAGTATTTCAAAGCGTAACGGGGGGGGATTTGTTTACCATCGTCGATACGTGAATTCCTAAGTAGCGGCGTCGCTTACTCTCGGATTTCATCGTCGAACGCGCGCATACATTATTTTAATTAAAGGCTCGCGTCCTCTATTGTTTAACATACTGTGGCGACGCCACTGGATAACTCGGCGCGGTCGTGAGAGCCCGCGCGTGCGTTTCCAAGCGCGACGGAGAAAACCAGAGGGTTGAAAAAAGAAAGGGCGATTAACGGAAGGGAGAAGAGAAACGATCCTACCGGCGAAGAGAACGAGAGAAAAGATAACGACTCCCAGGCACGGATTTAGGCGTGGGATGGTGGAGTGGTGTAAGGATGAGGGCCCTTTCGCTCTCGATGCACGGCAAAGTACTGTAGCTCCCCGTTTGGCACCATGCTGCACACAACCTACCAGTAATTTTTACGCACGATTATAATGTAACCCTTCTGCATTGTGCGTCGCGGATCATTTTTAACGCTGGCTTTAACCTTCAAAGAATGACGCACGCCTTTCATGGCGGTTCGCAAATGACAACTTCCTCGCTACCGATGCGCGTTTTATTAAACTGAGAACAATTAGAAGAACACTGTTACCGTGGGTATACTTCTGCAAATATTTTCATCGTAAACTGCTGTATATTTGTTACAAACAAATATGTACGATCACGCACGAACGATAAAAATAATGCGATCAGAGGTCACTGGTTACATTCCCGCCTCTTCTTTTTTTTTTTAAGCGATTAATAATTTATTATAATCATTCTTTTGCGAAGTCTATACTCGATTTATTATGACCGTGTAAATTACAAGTTTGAATAATACGTTCAGTGCCTCAAAATACTTAAACTTTCCCCCTACGCTGTGAACTCAGGCTAACACCCTCCTCGACGTTTATTCTCGAGCTGGCTGGGGTAAGCTTCGTGATGCATAATGGAGCTGCCCGATTGATATCCAAGCAACCGTCCGAAAGTTCTACAATCTCCAATACAATGTCGGTTTAAACTGTGGGTATATCGGATGAATACACAGCGTACATTCAAAACAAAGAAAAACTACTCGAGGCATAATTAAAATTGTTTCGCCCATTGTTCTGTTTTACTCACTATTTATAGTTAATTTGTCTCCTATACAAAAATAATTACAAATTATGGACAACAATTTTTCAACAAAATAATCCGGTTTATTTTACTCGAAGTATCGAGGTTATTTCCGAAAAAGACGCGCTGGACATCGAATCTCTCCCTGAAAATAATTGATCGATTAATAAATTAATGAGATCAAAACGAACAATGATTTGATCGAACTATTAGCCAGTTTCGTATCGGTTTACAACATTTAATTTTGTTTCGCATGTGCATCGATATACATGTAACCAGCGACAAGGCAACACTGCGACCGATCTTTCGAGGCTGCCGCTGGAAAGACGCTCGAGATGACCGTGATTGCCTGAACATACACACACGTATCATTCTAAACATCCGTGACACGTAACGAGGACTCGAAGAGCAACCTCATATTCACCGGCAGGCAAATACAAAAATAACGCGTGAACCAACCCATCTTTTTCTAAACATATATATACGTTCATGTATGCGTGTCTACGTATTGTACGCGTACACGTTTGATCATCAACTTAACCTGAAATCCTGTTTCGAAATTCCCGATCTCCGTATCGATCGTTCGCGCGCGGGCTCGTTGGCAATCAAATTAAAAATTCATAAAAATTTCGTTTCATGGATAGAACGTACCTTGTGTCTTTTAGAAGAATCACCAAATCTTCAAAAATTATTATCGCGCCGATGAAACGTTTGTATCACAGAGATCGACGACGTTAAATACATCGTTTGGAAGGAGGCGATAAATAATCGATCGTCTAAATATTTACAGCGTAAATTTTTGTAAAGAGCAGATTCGAGGCGATTTACAAGTTTCTCCACAAATTGTCTAAGTAATTTCAATTTGCCCGACTAATCGATCCTGCTTGTAACAAGATCGCGTTAAACATCCCATTCGAGGCGATCGACTATACGGCGTAGAGTAGTATGTACACACGATATACCACTATCGACAGAGGCACGCATACCCGTTGGTACATAAGTTCCGGGCGGCGCACGTAGAAATGCCACATGCACCTCGGTTTCGAAGGGGTCTGCGTGCGTCCCGGTAGCGACAACAACAGCGCGGGAGCAGCCGAGAACGGAAGACGGAGGACGCCAGTGTAGAAAGAGAGAACTTATTGGGGGAAAAAGAGAGGAGGTAAAAGAGAGCAACGAGAGTAAGGGAGAAGGAGAAACAGACAGACGTGCTCGTTTCTCGGATCGAGCAGTATGCACGAAGGACGAGAGAAGAGGACGGTGTTGGTGTTACAGGGGGACCTTTTCCCTCTATCGCGTGGCTCCACCCACACGCCGCCACCGCCGCCGTCGAGGCGCACAATCTGGCAACAGTGGCTCGCTATAACCGATATTGTGGCCGTGGATTGAATGGAGGGGAACTAGCTCAGGTCAAACCTCCCCACCGGCACGACAACCCCTCGGTCGGAGGAGCGACCCCTCGCCACTGTTCACTCTCCGTCGTTTCTCACCCCACCCAACCCCTACGCGTCCTTCTCGATCTCTATCCATCTGCCTCCTTCCTTCCTTTTCTTCCCCTACCTAGTCGAACCGCATCTTCTCCCCTTCCCCACAACCCTTCGCTTCCGCGCTTGTCGCTCGTAGTCGCCAGCATCCCCACCATCCGGCCGACAGTCCGCGTCTGTGGACTGGCACACGCGTGTGCCGCAGTATTCGTGCGTCTGTGCGTTGGGTGCGAGTGCGACTCCTGCTAGATGGCGTTCGTGTGCGCCTGCGCATGTATACGTGCGCGCGTGTAACTACTCCCACCGCGGTGTCCAACCTCTACCACACTACCGTTACTACCTTCGTCGTAGTCGTTGCTTCGATACCAACACAGTCATTGCGCGTTACCACCACGACGACATCGTCGTGCCTGCTGCTCTTGCTACCACCTCGACGCGAGTTACCAATACGAGCAAATATCCACGTGTGTGATACAGGATCGCGACGACGAATGACGGCAGGGACACACGCTGTAGGTACACGAAGCGTATATACACACAACGAACGATAGAGAACGCGCGAGGTGAGCGAGAGAGAAAGAGGGAGCAAGCAAGACCGATGTTGGCCCCAACAGCCTCTCACTAGACAGTATTACTTTCAACCGTTTAGCGGGGCCAATGCTACCCGGCGCAGAGTAGTCAGTCAGCCGAGCAGTCAGAGTCAGCCGTCCGCGAATACCGAAAGGACGCTCTCTCTCCGTTCACGAGGTATCGTCGTCGACGATCCATACACGCGGCGATTTCAAATGTTTTCATCGTTATCCTCAAAGTTTTTGCTGCTGCTACTGTTACCGTCGTTATCATTATTGTCTATGTCGTCGTCTATTCTGCGAACGGTTCTTCGTGCACCGACAGTACGTCTATGACAGACTGAGGCGCGCGCGTAACACGGTGGGATATAAATAAAAAAAAGTTTCGCCGAAGTGTGTGAGAAAATAATCGTCGTAAGATAAATAGAACATCGTGCAACGAAGGAAATCGAAGAATAAGACAAATGAATATAGTTTTTGTGTTATGCTTTTTGACATTTGTTCCGGGCGGTTACGATTAGCGCGTCGTCGAGAGTAGCCCGAGAGACGTTACTCCCTGATAAAGTTGTTGCCGTTGCTGCCGCAAGGACACAACACCGGTGTTGGCCACGAGCGGAGGAGTTTTACCCTCTCTCACGGCGCATCCGAGTCGCACGCGCGTGCAACACTCTCTGGTGGGTTCCGCACGTTCAGTCGAGTCGTGGAGCATTCTCGCTCGTTTTGTCGTTGTTATAACGAGGTGATGAATAGACGAAAGCGTTGCAGTGTCGAGCAGCGTGGTGACCGTGCTCGTCGTCGTGGCGGACGATGACGATTAACGTAGACAGATTCCGTGGACGCGGGGAAGTGTGCTCGTTAGTGTGATTCTAGTGTTTTCTTTATCTATTCTATTCCATTTACACGAGGAGGATTGGATTATACCGTGGAAGAGGTGTATCTACCAAGGATAATGCTCCTTTGTGTCATCGTTTAGGTAAGTGTAAGTGTGTTACGAGTAACGCATTCTCGCAAGTGGTCGTCGGTACTCAAGATAACTTTGTAACGTGTGTCACGATTAGTTCGAGATTTTTCAATGAAATATTTTTAAATATTCCGGTTTCGTTGTTGGTCTGTGAAAATAGACTCTGTTCGATAGATCGAAACGAGCATCGATACTCTGTTAAACGAGAACAGTGAAACATTTTATTCGATCGTGAAAGAGTGATTAGAAATTCGTTGCTTTCGAATGAAATTGTTTTAAAAATTGATTCGATCACGAAAAACCGTGCAAAGTATTCGAAATATGTAGATCGTGTTTTTTAAATTAGAGATTCGCGAACGGAATGGTTCGCGATCTTTCGATTCGCCACTTGCTCGTTATTACGTTGCAGTAGTAGATATTCCAACCGGTAAGGCGCTTTCACAACGGGTGATTGTTCTAAAGATGTGTCACTCCGTCTTTACTCGTTTCTCCAGCCGATCCCGGTTAACCGTGAGAGAAAGAGTAAGAAGGCGAGAAGAGAGACAGAAAGAGAGAGGAAGAGAGAAAGAGACTCGCATAGACGAAGACACAAAAACAGGCAGAAGTCACGTCCACTATAATCTTCGATCGACTGTAGGGTCGCAACGTGTTATACTCAACGTATTAACACCTTTATGTGTAACAACTATAGATGGGGCAGCGGTGCGCTACCGAATAGCTATAAACCGGCAGTAAATACACTTTTATATTCCATCGCAAATGCGAATATGTACAATGGTAGACAAAAGTATTCGCTCAAACAAGATTTTGTTGTAAACTAAAGTGCAAATCGGGAAAAAGTAGAATTATACGATCGATTCTTTTTAGAAAATATACTTTCAAGTCTACAAATTAAATATACCATAAACAGTGTATAAATAACCGTTTTCGTCGAAACAAAACTATTGGCACACATACAATTTTGGAACAAACGTTAACGATTTTTTCAATTGATTTTGTACAATTGTTTTTTAGTAACATATATTTTAATTATAGTTTCGTTATTATATGATATTTCCTGATAATCGTTATTCTGTTGAAACTAAAACTTCGGTTTAAGGTTTAAAAATTTTCTATTGCTATTTTTCAAGCTTTCTTTAAAAATATTCGAATACATGTGATAGTTTATTATATTTTCCATAAAAACGTAAGTTCTACAACCCGGAAGAAACACGTACATCTCTATAGTATTGCTTCACTACCCTTATGTTTAACACCAGAAACACGTAAAATGTACGATAGTAACGATGATAAATAAATGTCACACTAAACGCCAGGCTGTCTCTGAATATAAGAAACGTGATTACATTCTAGAAATTCAGTGTAGAATTTTCTGTGCCAATATTCTGCTGTCGAGAAAATCAGTATTAAATGTATATTTTAGTATTTCTTTTGTTTCTATAAAAAAAAAAATTAACTCGTGGCACATGTATTTAAATTGCAAACCTTGAGGTATACACATATATATTTTTTTTATTAAACATCGATTTTAATTTTTACCGATCTGCATGCAATTTTACAATCAATTATCAACCGTACCAATACTTTTGTTCGTCGTTAAATGTATCGCGCACGACTTCAGTCCATTTCCAGCAGGAAGTAGAAGATGCTCGAGAGACGCGTCGACTGGCCTACGCGAGACTTATTATCGAACCGTACTTTCTCGAACGAGTCGTACAATTTTTATCGATAAGCAACGAGTTATTGGGAACCACGCCGCTCCGTAATCTGTCGTACGACCTTAATAATTCATTCCCCGAGGAAAAAAAAACGTCGAGACTGTTTCCCCGTTATAGGTTGAATATCGACTCGGGGAAAAAAGTGTGCTCGTGTGGGAATACGCGCGGCAGCGTCCGAACGAAAAGAAAATTTTATCGGTTAATCGCGTGACTCGTAAGGAAACGATTCGAAGTTGGGTAAACTGGCAGTTCTCGCGCGGTATCTCGCTTGGCGTGACGATAATCAGTATGACATTGTCGCTGACGTTGTTATCTGACGGCGCAAAAATAAAAAAAAAAAAAAAAGAAAAAGAGAAAAAAGAGAACGAAAAGACAAGAGGCGACGCGAATTTGAATCGAACGAGTCGCGCAACCGTCACGTACCGTTTATGCGCGGTCTCTGGCGTACGCTGAGATAATCTTGGCAATATTAAACGCGCAATAGGCTCCGCTGTGCCCGGGGTATCTAATCGTTTATCGCTAACAGTCATACGCCAAGTCGGTGTATTATCAACGATAGTCTGCCGAAACGGGTCTCGCATATCGCATAGCTCGCCGACAATATAATCGACAAAGGCAGTTCTCCACCCCGATAACCAGTCACTTCGGGGAACCTAAAAACTATGTCAGGATCCCTTGACATTTATGTGCCGTTGGTTCGAAATTGCAGCGCTACGGCGCCTCTCTCTGTCGCCAGCTTTATTAATCGAGTCCGCATTATCGCGGTTATTCAGAAACGAGTTCAATTCATACGTTGAATAAAAATATGAAATTTTTTAAGAACAAGCCACGTTTTATGCAAGTTCAAAGGGTGATTTTTCTCATCATTCGTCCTATTATTATATTACCTCTACGTTATCTATTCTGTCATTGTGTATTCAATGGGAAATTTATGTTTATTTGAATAAATTGACTGAACACAAACATAGTGTTTCTAAATTTTTGAGTATACTAAGAATCCTTGAATCAAATAACCTGTCAAGCTTCGTTTCAAGCATAAATTCTATCATCTCACGTGGGAATTAATTTTGATTCCATTTAAACATCTCTGTTGTATTTCGGAGTAATTCTATGTAAGCAACAAGTGAGGGATTTTACAAACATATTTCCAAGGGCTTTCTATCTTGGATGTTCGATGGAGAGAAGATATCTCTAGCCCTTAGTGGCCAGGAGAGATGGAAGTTCAAAGTTCGCGCGAAATCGAACTTCAGACTAGAAAGCACACCGTAATAAGTAACATTTTCAGATATTGTGAAGGCATAGCGACACAGGGTGAGACATATCTTTGTACAGTAATAGTAAATAGGAGGCTGAACATCCAACGTCACTTTCTTTCTCAATGACCTACATTAACGACGAATCGAGGTCAGATCAGTGACGGTTCCCTCGAAGATACGAATACCTCTCTCGGCCGAGTCGTAAATCGGTTTTTGGGTACACTTTGCGCTAAACACGAACTCGTGCATAATTTGAACACGTTGCATCGACAGCTCCCATTGCCCCGCGTATTTCCAATCCGCGTCTAGCGCTACTTCTACGATCGTCGAGCTTTCACCTAACGCCATAGAGATAGAACCACTGTTTCGAGAGCGCGAGCGCGGCGGGGGAGGGGCGATGGAGTGTGTAGAGGGAGGGGGGAGGGGTACTTGTCGAATGTGCTCTGTGCACGTACATACGTGCACCGAACACACGCGATCGCTGGCCGTATGCAGGCGCGGTCCGCGTTATTACGTCTCCACCGCGAGTAAATCGGTTTCGTTGAAAGCCTTCTAATCTCGATACAGGCCCCGTCGCGGTGGCACAATATCAGAAATAGGTTTGTTAAAATAAGCGTACACTCGATGGCGCATACCGTGGCTTCCCAGGGACGTATTACCTCTGGGGGGAATCACCCGTTTGGCTAGTGGTGGGGATATGCACCAGGGAGAGCCACGCTGCTGCGCACACTTTGCCCTTATCCACAAATAAATGAGGTCGACTTGCCGATTCATACCTCTCGGACGAGCGTACGCGATTATTCGATCACGCGTGACCAACGATTTTCTTTCTTTTTCTCTCTCGTCGGTCGGTGAACTTTTCCATTAGATTTTCCAACGACATCCAGACCAGAGCGGAGCGTCGTAGTTTTTTTACTCACCGTGGCGCGCACGGTTATCGAAAAATTTTACCTCGAACGCAAGCTCTCAAGTGTTTCGATAAGGAGGACACCGCTATTTACCAAATTGGCAAATATCAACGAGCCGGGAATATATCGTCATCTTTGATTGCGCACTCCGGCTTGTGGAGCGAGGGTACTTGTTTGTCAAGGACGGCGAACAGACGCCTCGGAACTGACGAAGAATTATGTCAGACAAAGCAGCACGTTATAAATTCACCTTGGCGCGTTGGCACGTAGAAAATTTTTACTCGGCGGTAGCCATCGCGGGGAATGCATTTTCTTAGCTTATTAACCCTTTGACGAATAAATTTTCATCGACACTGCACACGGCTGCAGAGCAAGGTTCATCTGGTAGTCTTCACAAGCGTTAATAATTATATCGATGATACTTTTTTACGTACGATAATTGCATATATCTTGTTTTCACGCTCGTCCACTTTGGATCTATGTTAACGTTAAGTAAAATGTTTTTAAAACTACTGCTCCGTTAAGTAAGTCTATTATTCGCGAATTTCGTTTTCTACGCAAATTGGTATCAAAAGGAGGAGACCCGTTCGCGAACGTCGGCGAACCTCCGTTGAAATCACCACGCAAGCAAGAAAAATCTTTGCTGGAGGAACGAGAGAGCTGCTCGCTTCTCTATCCTTCGAAGACAACCGTACGTACTCGCTTGCGCAAACGATTGGTTTACACGCGACGGAATCCGCTCGGTTGGATTATGAAACGTTTGTTTTGTCGGCGTGAAGCGGCCGCTCGTGACGCTCGCGGTCCAACGACAATGGAGTAGCCTTCGAACATTATATTCCCGCACGCGCGCTCAAGGTGAGGCGTAATTAAATTTTCATAATTGTTCGTTGCATAATGATGTCTCGGGACGCGTCTTCTGTCCGTGCGTGGATCGAGCAGAACGGTGCGCGAATTTGAATCTCCCGCGTACGCGCTAATCGACTCCGCGAGATTTTCCCAGAATCGTTTATCGTTGTCGCGTACCGCTTTTATCCTACTGCGCGTCGACGTCAAACAGTATAACCATTTACAGTCCAAAACATTGTTGATATTTCGGTTCAGTAAATTTACTGTATATTGACAAAAAGAGA